AAGTTCTCACATTAGTAGTGAAGGTTTAAGCCCAGGGCACTTCCTAAATCTGTTGAGCAGATCTGATTAAAATCTGCCTACCACTTATAGTTCCCATGTCATTGTAGACCAATAATCTGTAAGGTTACGTAACCCAATTCACTCTGTGTTAAGTATGGCTGCAAGCTTGACCTTCCCCTATACCTAGGTGTCCACCCCTGGGGACAAAACTTGGTACTCCAACCCACATCCTACATATGTACATAAATGATGAGCAGGAAAACAGATTAGCACCTTCCGTAATGAAAACCTTTTTCCCTGAAGAAGTTTATGTTGATGATGGAGACTTTTAATTCTGTTTGTAAAAACTAGTTTCACCAGTGGTGACGACACTATCAGCACAACCTGACTGATATATCTATATGTTATAGCTAGTGAAATAACCTATATACAGCTACCAATACAGCTGTTTATTAAAAAATTAATTATCTGGAAATTGATAGTGAAAGCTATTGTCTACCTACTTTTTTATTTGATTTTCCTGTTACTGACCACATAGTCGTTTTAGAAACTTCTAAATTTCTGATAGTTTTAGGTCGCCTTATCTGGTGACTGACCAAGAATTAAGCTTTGTCGTCCTATCCAGGAAACTGCATGACCACAAATTTTAGGGAAAGGTTTACAGGTTATTCATCACTGTCCATCATCACGAATATCTTTTAAATTGCTCTTTGTTTGAATTTTTTTATTTCTCATCCAAACTTCAAATTTGACTCGAACTCAAAATGTTCCCCAAAGGCAGCTGCCCAAAACAAAATCTGTACAAATATTTAAGAGCCTCTGTTGAAGTCCTAAATCCAGTCAATTTAAATGATGCCCAACACCAAGCTGGCTTGAATAAACGGTCAAATACTCTCATCTTCACAATACTAGGTGTTTAAGTGAAATTTAAACCACTTATTTCAAATACTTGTATCTGTATGTACTATGATGATGCACTTTTTACAAGCGGTTGAGTGAGATGAATCATAGCTACAGTGACAGATGTATTCGTAAAGTCCTTGATATATTACCTCTACAGGAAATTCTTTATTTTTAATGATATTAAAACCACAAATTTGTCAGAATTTGATCTCTATGTTATGACTTATGATATTTATCCTGATGAAGACTACTGCCAACATGCAACTGACATCATAAATATATTTCAGGCTCAGAGACTGTAAGATCTTGACCTTATTTAAACTGAGTTGGATCAAAATATTCACCTGACCAGGTATAATTTGGTAGGTAATACGTAGAATTGTGTAAGTCTCTAGGTTCAAGGTTTAAATTTCCACATAGCCAGTACAGTCATGTGTCGAGGGTATAAGCTCAAACACCATTTCAGTCTAACAGGAATGATGGAGGGACGGAATAACAGAGCAGAGGAATAAGGATCACTGCGGCGCTGGAACCATGCTCCATTACCTGAAGTTCTGCACTTCATGAGGAAAAACAGGTGGAAAGCAGTCAGTTCTAGTGTGTGTGTCAAGTTTATTTACCAGATAAAAATCCAGAATTTACTAGCCGCCTGTAATGTATCTCAAGTGCTCAGACTCAATAACCATTATCTGTGCCGACTCCAACGACCCCAACATTTAAGTCGGATTTAATTTGATTCACACCCAATCTGATTTGTTGAACTGATAACAACAGATAGACTGCAGTTAGAACAAAAGATTGGTTCCATCTGTTTTTTTTGTTATTTCATACACACGATTTCATACAACATCCGGCTAGAGCCGGGTTTTCCTTATTCTGTAGAGGTTTGGTGATGTAATCATTGCAATAACAGAGATTTTCTTCTGAAATGTTTTTAACTTGCACTACCGAACAGGAAACATACTGATATATAATTATGTATAGGATGAAAAGTAATCGGTTTTGCAATTAAACGCCGCGACTTAAAAACTAAGGAAATCCTTGAATCGCACTCAATAGAAATCTACGAATCGCAGACACCTTCTGGTAGGAGACATATATTTACAGTTTCAGTTACAGGATGCATACAGGAAATGATAGTTTTCATATGTGTGATTGCTTGCCTTTCTAGTTTTGCAGACAGGAAAGTTTAAACATATATTTATCAAACCTTTCTCTTGCTTGAACTCAAGATTCAGGGCTCTTGAAGCTCAAACCATTCTTCAAGCAGTTACATTATAAATCAAATTTGGTAGTGTAATGGAACTTTCAGAATGTTGGTCCTTCATGGACAAGTGTGTCAGTTCTAGTCAGACTGGACTCGCGTCCACGAAACAGGTGACCTTACAGTCAGTCCTGGTCACACTGGACTGTCTGTTAGAAAGTGTGGTCACTCTAGTTCTGGCTGAACTGTTAGTTAGAAAGCGTGGTCTAGCACTCTAGTTCTGACTAAACTGTTAGTTAGCTAGGTAGTTACTAGATTATTAACGACCAATCAACACAAAAGAGGTCATTAGGGCCAATAAAAAAAAAAAAAAACTGGTTAAAGGAAATGACATCAAACCAACAAAAACGTAAAAGACAAATGTCAACTTTAAAAGTAAAAGAGACTGAACTGTCGTGACCTATATGTGTGGTCAGACCAGACCATTCATTTCGCTGCGTGGAGTCTGCTAAATGCTTTGTTTCTCCAATTTAGAAGTGATAGAAGGTAGCCAACAGCACTAAGCAGAGATATGGCTGGGCAGGGCTTCAACGGACCACCGACCATCTCGTTCTCATGTTTGTCTAATCATGTGTTAATTCTACATCTCATTTCCTGTGCAGTCATCGCCTCGAGAAACATGTTTTTTAACAATCAGAACTAACGTGTGAAACCTCCCTTTGTCTTAAATTGCAAATTGTTTTCCCAGTAAACATGCTCTTTTACAAACAGATTAGGAAAAAACCAAAAGATAACGGATTTCACAGAGATAACAATATCCTCAAGTTATTTCAAGATAATTCAGTGATATTTTTTATAATCAACTAAAATATTAAATCTCTGATAAGATTAAGAAACTCCTTTTTTCCCCATTGCAAATACAACGGGACCATGTTGCTATGGCTGACCTCACACATAAATTGGATTCTGTTTTTGGAATGAAATGTGGACTTAACGTCTACTAAACAATTTAAGTCGGATTACAAATCGTACCGCCCTATCTATCCACGGAGACCGCTATCCATCAACACAGTCCACCCCACAGAGTGCAGCCATAGTCAGATATTACCAAAATACCAAAAACTGTTTTGAAATACTTTTTAGAACCATGTTTTCAAAATATCGTCCATTTATCTTTTGATTTTGAAAATCTTTCAACTCCCCCTTAAATGTTTTTAACATGCGTTAATTGAGTCATAAAATTTGGATATTTTATGATGTTTTAGGGGTAAAATTTTGTTTTGTTTAAATAAAACAAAATTCTTATGAATTAGGAAAAATACAATTTTTATACTTTACACCCCAAGTACAAAATGCATTATGACAATTAAAAGATGATATCTTGGTACATAATTATTTAACGTCATAAACTTGTTGACTGAAAACTTCATTCCATACACAACAGGAAAGAACATTTTCAGTATTCCAACCACAACTGAGAGAAATTCAGAGAAAGACCCTATATATACAGATCTATTCAGCAGCTGTTACCAGGATGGTAGACACACAAAGGCATTATCAGTACAGAACCTTTAATTTTCTATCCAAGTTCTTTGGTGGATTTTATGGGGGTAATAAGGGAATCGTTAACTGTTAATGAACCGACCACTCTAGTGCGGTCACAATACATCACTGTGTCCTCCCTCCCCCATATATCTCATCTTCTTTCCGTCCTCATCCTTCCTTCCCGACCCCCCTCCCCTCCATAGAATAGCTCCTTCCTCACTCCCCCTCCTCCTATAATAGCTCCTCCCTCACTCCCCCTCCTCTCCCAAACCTTTTTAGTTCAATCCTTCAGAGCTGGGAGACCATAGACAACCAGGGGGTTCAATCCTTCAGAGCTGGGAGACCATAGACAACACGGGGTTCAATTTCATGGTAAAGACATTACATGGTGAATTGTGAAAACAGCTGTAAAACGGTCAATTGACCATGTCATTGCCTTCTGGTCATCCATCGCCTTGGTTATCGATGGAGCGTGATGCATACATCACAGTTCTGACAGATATGGAATGCAACTCTCGGCTTCTCCATTTGGGAATGCATTAAAAACGTTACATAGCCTAGGGTATGATATCACTCAAATCTCTGCAGAAAGTGAAGCTATTTTTTGTTTGTTTTTCCAATAGATTTTCAACACCACATGGGCAATATTGGTAATGGATCTAAAGACTTTCCTCTCATATGACCGGTAAGGAGCAGTGTCTAAGACACGATCCTCATGGTCACTTCAATCAATACACCTTCAGTGTAGATAGCGTAATTGGATTTTGAGCAGAAAATAGGCATTTAACGCCGTGAGTGTTTAGGAGGAAGCAGTCAATTGGGACGTCATTACAGACACCCTCTTATCCTTGAAATATCCAAGGTCAACGACACCGAGACATCATCACTTCCCTTACTTAGACCATATAAGTATTTAAAGCATGTTCCTCGTATTAAGTTTAGAGAATTCATGCTCTATTGAATTTTCGTAATAATGAAACATCAGCGATTTATCCCATCCACTGTACATCTCCGTCAGGATCAAAGGGTTTCCAAAAAGATATCGTGATTTCTTTTTCAGTGATCACCATTAAAATATATGTTTGTTCTTCAGAGATTGAAATCAGGCTCCAGGATCTTTCTCTGTGTAGAAACACACTAATAGACATGCAATGGAAGCTTAGCTTTAAGAATAATTGGTGACGACAGATAATCACCACCAAACAGGTCTACCGTAGTATAATTCTATTCAATTTGTAAAGGCCACAATAACAAAATATCACCACTATCAACAGATATGATCTGTGTGTTTGTCTCTGACCACAAACAAATCCACTTGTACACGGGAAAATAAAAACAAAATACTTACCAGCTCAGAGTAATCCGTGCTCAGAAGACAGGTAAAATTCTACGATGTCACTGCTGGAACTAATCTGTATTGTAACCTGTCAAAATGAATGAAAATCGTTTTTATAACTACAGGTTCTGAACATTTAAAAACTCTTACTTTAAGTATAATCATTACAGAACGTATAGATATAAGTACTAGCATGTCGAAGTTGGTTCAGAATCTCCTACCCATGTGTGTATCTAATGTCAGTGTGTATAGGGGTGTCTACAGACCACACACGTGCCAGATACTTCCTTTCACACACATAGAGATTTGGCCCCAGTCTATAGAAGTTCCATCCACCTGGTCCTTTTACCTGATCAGTCCAATCGAGTGATCAATGCGTTTAAGTGACCACTTCCTCTCTGGGCCGTATCGACACATTACGAAGACCAAGCCCTTGATTAGCCTTATATTGATCTGATGAGGATGAAATCGTTCTGTTATCCTAACCACAATGCCTTTTATCAGTCATATTGCACGCTTGCGGGGTTATCTGCCCCTAGGGCAGTCTCGCCTCCTTATCATGTGTTTTACGAGTCTCCACATTACATCAAACTGTGAGTACAATAAAAGTGACCATCAAGGTAGGAATTAAAGTCTACTGACCAGTACCTAAACCACCCCTGTCACAATTATACCCGTAAATTATTCCCGATAATTGTATGTGTGAAGACGGCCAAGCGGCAATGACCTGATGTTGAAAACTCCGGAAACAGACCCCGGATCCATGAAAGTTATGATCAATAGACAATCTTCTTTCAGAGTTGGATCAATGATTGAGGAACGAGAGTGCGGGGATAAAAGTGTTTGCGAGGAATAATTGAATTCCTCGGAATTGTTTACACATCATCAGTATCGGACATTTGATACAACGCAGACGACTTAGGAAAACACAAGACCGAAATTTGCGCGGATTTGTCACCGGTCACTAGAATGAGTTTCCATATTAGTATGACATTACCAAGTCTCTGCACACTTATCTCTCAATGTCCAGTGCTTAAAGTACCCCACTATCTACACAAACTCCCAACACTCTCAAGTCCTATATGAATAATATGTTTAAATTACAGCGTAATATTTTCCCAACGGCAGACTTATCAAAAACGTCTGGAGAAGCATTGGTGCGATTGTTGCTAATGGGCGTTTCAGTGGTAGTAATAGATTTTTGTCCTGATCTATCGTTGACATTAGCATATTGTCTGAAAGCTTGCAAACGACCCACAATAAATTCATATAAAAACCCAACAGATTCGATGATTTGGTATTTAACCACAAATACAAAAATTTATGAAGCCACAAACTCAAGGCAAAAATCAGAAAAATTCCTCAGGAAGGATCTTATTTACAATGGTAACAAAGCGACAAACTAACTTATCTGTATACAATATAAGTAAAGTCACTTTCATATCTGTATACCCCCAATAAAGAATCTCCCGTTAAACTTTTAATGACAAATACCATTTGAAAAGAAATAAACCATTCAAGAATTCTGAAGAAAAATTTCTTTTCAAAGACAGCACAGATCAGGCCTTAAGTCTGAGAGATAGTCACTAGATACCAATGGAACTTGGATATCTGTTCTAATCTAATACAATCGTAACTGATAGAGCTGTAATATCGCACATACTAGCATTAAGCCTTCACATGATGAAATTGGGATGACTACAGAGTTATGGCATGTAGCCATTTCCTCGGACCATAAATGTGTCAATTTGTGTAGGACATTTATGGCAGTGTTACATGTTCTATAGCGGCTATAATTGAAGCAATTAGGTAGAGGACAGGTGGGGTATTACTCCGCCATGTCTACCACAAAAGTCTGGACACTGTAGTCTCATCAACACTGCGTTTTTTGATTAATTAAAATAGTCCCACAAAACTTAGTCTCAAAAAATATAGTTTCAAACTAGACAAAGTCAAAAATAATAAAAAGAGACAAAAAAACCCTTTATCAATACGATGCAATACCATTAAAGTCTCACAGTAATGAATTCATCTCTAATATATATAAACCATGTCCCACTGTAAAATCTGGACACCTGTCAAATTTCAACATAAATCTTGGTCTCCATGGTGCTTGCATGGTTCCATGTCATCATCCTATTCCATTTCTACCTTTCCCGGAGTATCTCAGGGTATCTCTCGGGGTATCTCTCCCAGTGTAGAAAACACAGATGAAAACAAAGCAGTGCCTTTGTTTTATGGCCGTGTTGAATAGTAATCAGAAATATCACACTGTTAACACACATTAGTGCCCTATCAGACAGCTCTTGGGGATAATAAACATCCCCAACCAAGGTAGGGTTCGTCCCTTCAGAGGGTGACAGGGGACAATCTCAGGGCCCCTTGACTTGCGCCTGGCCCTTTGACTGAAGCGGGAGACGTTTAAGACCCTTTGAAGCCCTGTGTCTGGCAAGCCTCCTGTAATCTGCCAGAATGAAATGGAGACAGATGTCACGAAGAACCTTAGAGCAGAAACCCCCTCCCAGTCCAAAGATAAAGACACCAGAAGTACACTGTGCGCCTCCCCCATCCCCTGTGTACCAAGTCACATGACCCTTCAAGGTCAAATGTGGTGCTGATGGGGTCATCGGTGATGAGATTGGAGGATCAGTACACCCAATGTATTGCTATACCACTACCCAGTAAAACCACATTTGGGTGTCAATGATTGAATGAAATTTCAGCAATTTTTCAAATTTGACTTAAAGAAATTGCCTTTTATATTGTCAATTTGTAGTATTAGCTCCCGGCTGTTAAACCTTGCAACATCTGGCAGGCTATTATCTACTAAGATGGGAGGCTGCACCGTCTAACTCCCGAGGGAACCATTAAACTTCACGGAACAAATTAGTCTCTTATTCTATTCTGTTCAGCAAAACCCATCAACATTTCTACTACACAGGAAATACACAAAACGTAATTTTCTAAAATCTTATCAAGTCAAGCTATCATGTTTTCATTGTGTGTGAACAGTTTTATTACAGTAGATTTAGAATGATAATGGTGTTTTAAAACAAAACTAGGTCAAATAATTATAATAGCACATTCCAATGAAATAATTCTGTAGCAACAATAAATGAATTGTGATTTATTGTGTTTTGTTCAAAGTTGAAGCCATTTTACGTATTTGATGCATTTAATTCAGGTTTAACGCTTTGTGCTGTATTCCCCAGGTCAATTTTTGATGTTAACGTCTCTGCAATTGCCACATTTTTCAGAGGTAGTTTGGAAAGAAAAGTACATGCAGAGTTCAGTCAGTTCCTTTGGGATGTTACCAGAACAGCCAATCAGATCCCGGCTTACCTGTCCTGATGGCCGGTATCATTAATCAACGACTGATCACACATTTAGGTTTGTGTAGGTACAATACACATAACATGCAATGCTTCAGCCCTTCAGTTCCTGCAAGGCCTGGTAGAGTTGGGCACCCACCTGTAAGGCAGGTGTGATAAGTACCTGTGTTGAAGGTGAGATAAGCCAGACCCAATCTTCCTCTGTGTCAAACACATCAATTATTTACATAAGGTAAGAATAAGTAGATCAATCACAGCTCTCCAGCCTTGCATAAAAAAGTACAGTCATTTCACAGGTTTGATCCAAGTCCTCATGCAATGTAATCACTGGGAGGGAGCTGTGATGTGCTGGTCGTCACTGGGTGAGAGCTGTGATGTGCTGGTCGTCACTGGGTGGGAACTGTGATGTGCTGGTCGTCACTGGGTGATAGCTGTGATGTGCTGGTCGTCACTGGGTGGGAACTGTTTTGGCAGTTATTACTGGGTGGGAACTATTAAAGTGGTTATCACTGCATTGGAACTGTTTTGGTGGTAATGACTGGGTGGGAACCATTATGGTGATCATTATTGGGTGGGAACTGTTTTGGTGGACATCACTGGATGGAGACTATTACGGTGGTAATCACTGGTAGGGACCATTATGGTGGTTATCACTGGTCGGGAACTGTTATGAAGTAACAGACACTTGATTGGAACTGTGGTTTTGTAATAGCTACAAGGCGTATGATTCCTCCAGTGCATGTACTAGCTCGTATTACTCTGCCAATTCCAACTTGGTAAACAAAAAATATTTTAAAACAACTGAAATGTAATTATGCGCTGGCTCTATGTCTGTAGATAGACAGATCTATACCAGGATCTATTCCCTAGATGGGGCTAGATTTGCCTTAATTTAAATGGCAGAGAAAATGAAACCCACGGAAAGTGAAGGTTATGGACGTTGGATCACAGTGTTTGTGTCCCCCTCGGGCCCGTGGCGTGGCTTTTCTGATGCAATGATACATGCATTAAACAGCTATTACACCCGAAAATATCCTGGGTATGAATTAACTACTGATTTTAAAGGAATAAAAAGTTTGACATGAATCAGTTAAGTGGAAATTGGAAGTCATTGATTCCAACCCTTGTAAGCCAAGTAGAACACTGTAAAGGATCAAATATCTGATGCTGTGTGAATAAGTAACCCGAACTAAAAGGTGAAAAGTGACGCTACAAAACAAAAACCTGTAAAATAATCAAAGTTCAATTGCTGTAACCAAATTTATTTTTTAGGAAACATTTGAGTTATTCCCGATAACATTGCAGAAAAGTATTAACCTAACAAGTATCATGGTCTAATGCAGATAGTGTGGATAAACTCCCCGCTTTATAACTTAGAGGTATGGGGATTAAATCCACAAAGCAAAGATTGTTTTGTGAAAAAGAAGATAATAACATATATAACTCTTTGCTATAGTGAATGAGCAAGCAACTGTCTCAGTCAAAAAAATGTCAAATAAATTGGAATTCTTTTTCATTGGAGATGCAACACAAGAGCGCTGTGGCTCTAGATCTCCTTAAGTAACTGAGAACCCTGCCTACATGTAGAATGTTACTAATTTGTCAGCATAAAAGTGTGACCTAGCTATATGAGCTTGATGCTTTGAAAATTACGACAATATTTTCAGGTTCGTAATATTGTCTCGCAAATTATATATTGACCCAAAAATTCCACAGAAGCCTCTCGCCATAATTAACTTTGATGCGATATGGGCTT